AGCAATAAGTTGTTACAAAAAGCTAATTAATCAAACACTCATATTGATTGTTTAACCAAGTCAAAATTACTAAGAGTAGTCAAATAAGTCAAAATTAGCTAATAGTCTAACTATTTTACCAAACATGGCCTTTAACTAGGTTGAATATAACATTATTTTTTGTCTTGGTACACCCACCTTGTCCTCTATTACAATCTGCTTTGAAAGAGTATAGCGATGACCACTATGCATGTGTATATATATATATATATATATATATATATATATATATAGATAACTAAAGTTGAGTATTTAACTATAATAATTTTTCACGTAATAATAAGTGTTTGATAAATGATAATTGGTATCAAATAGGTTGCAAATTTAAATTCCCATTGGGCTAGAAAAAAAAAAAAAACAAAACAAACAAAACCTATACTAGCATATACCGAATGAGCGACTAGGTGTTTTGGGATAGGATTTGGGGTCAGCTAACTTCGAACATGACTTGAAAGTGCAATCTAAGATGCAAAGGAAAATACTATATTCGTTAAAAGTTGTTACCTTAAAGGATATGATATAATTTGGTGAGTAATATGTGGAGATGATTACTGTATACATATTATATATTTGTAATGTGAGATGCATTAATAATCTAAACCGTGCAAACTTAAATTAAACCACATTAATAAAACTTGTAAGATTACAAATATTAGACAGTTTTTTGGGAGTGGTATAGATAATAGTCACTAAAATCCATCCCTGTTTTAAGAAAAGAGATTAGTATATTCATTGAATATGCAATACCATTAAGGAGATAATTGGGGTGTTTGGAAATCAACGGTTAGTTGATAGCTGATTATGTTATTATGATCCAACTATCTAGCTATGTGCATTCTAGATTGACTTACTTCCTTGTGGTCATTTGTGATAGGTACATAATTTATTAAGTGCAGGTACATAATATGTTATTGCAGATACAAAATATGTTAATTGTAATAGATACATAATTTACTAACTGAAATGTAATAAACTAATATAATATGTTAATTAGCAGCATATACATAATATGAATATGGTATAATAACAATTGCCTGCTCTATCATTTTAATTCTTATACGCTATGGGATTATTCTCATTTTCAAATATGAAAACAAACTCAACACAAATCGTTAGGTTGGTAATTAAATGAATAGCTAATGAAATTGTAAAATTAAAAGTTTGATTTTCCTTAAGGGTTCACACGAGTGAGAGTAGAGAATATATATATACAAAAAGTAAAGAGTAAGATTAAAAAAAAAAAAAAAAAAAAAAACCCATTAAATGAGTGTGTTGAATTTAGCTAAGAAAAGGTACCATGTCTCCATACATTGGATCATACTAATGTATGTACTAACCGTAATAATTCCCACAAATTTCAGTCCAATTTCACAAAATAATTTAAGGATATGGGACACTTATATTTTCCTTGTTGACACTTATTATTCGATCGAATATGATGAATTTTCTTTTGACATGACTTGAAGCATCGACGTTTCCTTTTTTTTTTTTTTTTTTTTTTTTTTTTTTTTTTTTTTTTATGTAAAATGGTTAATGCGTCAATTTTTTCCTTTTTTTTTTTTTTTTTAATGTGGAATAAAAGTTATATAAAAATTTTGTCAACATACAATTTGATAATCAATTTTTTATTCATCATTATTCATTTTAAGGTTATAATATATATACCAAATTTAATAATTTATCACATTAGAAGAATATGAATAAGTGACCACTTTAAATATCCTTTTAAACTATTTTTTTCAACAGCAATATGAAATTTATCATAGCAATAGAATCATCACAGCAAATAATTTCATATTATATATTAGAACATAAAGTTTATATATTTGCATTCAAAAAAAAATAAAGTTTATATATTTCATAATTATTAGAATATATAATTCCATAATTATATCCTCGTGGATCTTGGATGGAGCAAGAGGAATAGAGATTGCTTTGGACAGCTTATTATTGAACACCGTTTCACCATGCCATAAACTTCACTGCTCCGGTGATCCGTTTAAAGGATGATTTGGCATCGTCGGCTCCGATAGCATTGCCGGAGAATCATACTTCAAAGGATGACTTGGCATCGTCGGCTCCGATAGCATTGCCGGAGAATCATACTTTAAAGGATGATTTGGCATCGTCGGCTCCGATAGCATTGCCGGAGAATCATACTTCAAATGATAATTTGGCATCGTCGGCTCCGATAGCATTGCAGGAGATTCATACTTTAAAGGATGATTTGGCATCGTCGGCTCCGATAGCATTGCCGGAGAATCATACTTTAAAGGATGATTTGGCATCGTCGGCTCCGATAGCATTGCAGGAGAATCATACTTTAAAGGATGATGATTTGGCATCATAGTAATTGGCCTCGCCATGCTTGAGTTAAGAAGAAGGTGAGAAATGAGCAGAAATGCTCCAATGGTAAGCCGTGAAGAAGGAGAGGCCATGGCGGTGGGAATTCAATTGAAAGAGGGTTTTATAATATATTTTGAGGTGAAGAAGAAAAGGGTTTTGGGGGAGTTTATATAGATGATGATGAGTAAGTTTGCATGGTGAGGACATGTCGCTATATTTTGCAACCAAACTAAACTCAAGGGAATAAAAGTTCTTTAAAATAAAAAACTTAAAGGGGGTGATTGGTAAATAACTGTTATTAAAGCTCAAACTCACAACTTTCCAAATGAAAGTCCAATCTGGGTATCATTAAACCACATAGTCTGGTAGTTGATAGTATTAGTTAATTGTAAAAAAGTGTTTGGTAAATTTGTTTAGCTGATAGCTAATTACATACAAAATGATTTTCTCAAAAAACTATTTTAAACAGCTTTTTGAATTTTAGCATTTTGGAGCAATAAGTTTTTACAAAAAGCTAAAATTGACTAATAAGCTAAATATGATACCAAACAGGGCCACATCATTTAGGAGCAATAAGTTGTTACAAAAAATTAAAATTGACGGATAAGCTAAATATAGTACCAAACAGGGCCAAGGTGACCCCAAAGTAAACAACCAGTCATGCAAAAAAGATTCGAACTCTTATACTACCGTGTTAAATTGTGACATCAAGTCAAATAGTGAACCACTACACCACGCTACGATATGGAGTAAAAGTTAATTGTACACTATATTTAGTGAGTTTACCTAGCTAGTACATGCCTTCGAGTAATTGTTTAAGGTTTTCCTCATTCGAAGATTGATTAATATGCTTGCCATACTTATAATCAAACACAGAAATTTTGCATGCAGTGTTAATTTGGATACGTAAAAGACTGAAACTGTGCTACTTATATATGGTTAAGAAGTACTCTGTACCAACTTTATATACTATTAATTAACAAGCTCTATATTCAGCATGTAATTTTTTAACAAACTTTGTATTCTATTTCAGCAATTCTAAATTCTAATTTTGATGGCATGTAATGTTCAAAACAAAGCAATATAAAATATAAATTAAAAAAAAAATTGTGATGGAAAAATAGATCGACTCAGACCACCTCAAATCACAAAGTATCATGATTAATACTAGATTTATAATCGTACATAATTAATGCTCAAATGTTGAATTCTTTTTACAAGTTGAAATATTGATCTTAGAAGTCAATTAGAGGCTTCTAACAATAACTTTCGTATTAACAGAATAACATATTTTTAACAGATTCTTAGTAATTCATTTTGTCCTGGAGAGTTCACGATTATATTCAACGCTCCTAATTAATATTTTCAAGAGGAGGCAAATTAATTTTAACAAAAGTGTGAGCACAACTAGCACAGCTTAAATTAATTTTATGAATTAATGTGACTAGAATTTAGGAATATTTTGAATTGAAAATTCCCTACGTGACCGACACTAACATCCTAAAAAACAAAGTATACCAAACCTATATTTAATTTGCTTGCTATTTATTATAATCAAACACAGAAATTTTGCATTGGTTACGTGAAAGTGTACGTACAGTATTACCTATGGTTAAGAAATAACAACGTTATATATTATTATCATCAAGCTCTATATTTACTATTTAGCATGTAATTATTAATTAACAAGATTTGTATTCTAATTCAGAAATTCTAGTTTTGATGGCATGGAATGGTCACAACAAAACAAAATTAAAAAATAAAATAAAATAAAATTCCATAGTGATGAGAAATTGGACCCGGACCACCTTAGATCACATAGTTTATAACAATATATTTCGATTTTATTTTATACAAAAATAGAAAACATTTAAGTGATAATTAGCAAATTAATTGATACCATTTTAACATATTGTTATAATGAACTTACACCCATATTTAGCATTTAGCAATATGTTATGGACCCGGTAAACATACATAATTTATATACTGTGAACATTTAATATGTAAATTGTGAACATTCAGTAGGTAAATTGTGAACATTCAGTATACAAATTGTAAACATTCAGTATATAAATTGTGAACATCATTACAATAATGGATTGTGATCGATAATGCAATATGAACCGTGATCCATGATATAACTTATCGTGCATTTTCGTCATTCATGAAGAAAATCAAAATAACAAATAACAAATAACAAATAATACACTGCTGGGAATTATGGAATTTCCGACCATATGAAAGTGATCTTAAATCAAGTCTAAAGCACAAAGTGGTCAAAAATAGCAATAAAGGTTTTTCCGGATACCAAAAGTGGTCGGAACAAGACTTTCGACTTAATTTAACATCATTTTCATGTGGAATTTTCAGCATTTGATATATTAACTTCATTGTTATTACCTTAAAACGTGAAGTATAAATTTTTTTTTTTTTTAACCTATAATATATAAAGACATATAAGTATAAGTAACAAGTATTTAATTAATTAAACATTCTCATATATACAATAATATTATATACAATAATCTTTCAGGTCATATCTAATGGGACACAACAAATTAAAAGAGAAATTATTTGTTACATATATATAACATTTTTCCACACATAAATTATATGCCAATTAAGATCAGATTTGGCTTAAAGTTGAAGAGTAATTAATCACCCATGCTTACCACCATGTTTAGTCTTTTTGCTATCATCATCTTCGTCATCAGACGACGACGACGATGATTTATCATCAGCGGCCGCCGCCGCCGCCGCCGGAACATCTCCAAACGATGATTGGTCCAGATGGACCTGCGCCAAATCGTTAACGTTAGCAGCCCTTTCCTTTGTAATGTTTTCCCACTTTTCTTCTTCCGCTTTCTTCACCTTCTCCGCCGTCAACGCGCTCACGACGCTGGCCGCTTTCGCGACGGCGTTAAGCTTGATAGAGAACCACGACGCGCCGCCGGAGACATAACGGTTGCTGGCGAGAGCCGTGCCGGCCGTGGTGGCCGTCTGCTCGGCCGCCGCCATCGCCACCTTCGCCTTCTCCGACACCTGGTAACGGTCGTTCACCTCTCGGGCCTTCCCGCCGACCACCACCGTCCCGATGCTCAGCTTCTCGGTGATCCCCATTTTCCGGTCGATGGAAGCCGCCGCCGCCGAGGCGTTCGAGGTCAACTGGTGCCTCTCGTCGAAAGATTTGGCCTTCTTTAGGGCGTCCTTTCCGAAGATAAACCCTTTCGCGAGGACAGTGCTGGCAACATCCCCGGCTTTCTCCGCAGCAGATGGCTAGGAATAAAAACATTCTTAATTCCCCCGAAATCACACAACAATTATATTTCTTGAGAAAATTAAAACGACATTATTTTTAGCAGGACCAAGAAAAGTTACGGCGTTCAATGGAGGAGCGTGAGGGGGAAGCTCATAGTTGTCTGCCGGAGCTATAGAAACTGAAAGATTAGATATGACCGCTCCCTGTTAGATTATACATATTAGTTAGACATAGCACTTGAAGAAAAAAAAATGTTAATTTTGGACCAACTTTGGTCAGATATTGAATCATAATCACAATATTATAAGTTCAACTTTCAGTGGGTCATGGACAACTTAGCATGGTTAGATGAAGTCGAAATTTATTGATGCATACTCTGAGATAGTGACAATGAGTTTTTGTTTTTCTGGTCACCTAAAAATTGTTAATTTTGAAGAGATGAGAGTGAGCATATATACCGAAAGTAGCAGTGCAGTGTCTACACCCTGAGGATCATTGAATGTTACATATGCAATTTGAGTTGTCTCACTATCCCTGCAACAAATACATAATAAATTTGCATCTTTATTAACCGGTTTGAATTGAAATATATATATATATATATATTTTAAGATCGTATCATCATCAGCTGACCTTTGCAGTTCAACGAAGTGGATTTCGCCAGAAAAAGAGAAGAACTCTTTTACATCCTCTTCTAACGCAACTACGGAGACATTAGTAACTTTGACCGTATTTGGCTGTAAATATATGCGATCCAGAAATAAGAATTTGATGCATTATTAACGTTATATTCCACAAAAGATTTTTGGTATAAGCACTATCTTTTAAGAAGGGAAGAATGACAATTTTTTTGAGTGGTAAGAAAACCCGTTTTCAATATTCTAGGCTGTGTTCTGGGTAATTAAACTCGGAAAGATCTTGTATAATGAGCTCGAGAAGTTAGCAAGAATCAAATTTATAACTTTTAAATACGGAAAACATGTTTCACCACTCACCCACCCACCGTCAACCTTAAAGTCTCCATCACCTTAAAAGATTAATTTCGTTGTAATCAAGAAATTAAGAAACCTCACCTTTGATGCATTGGTCTCATTTTCAGGGTTAGGTGCAGGCGGAGTATCTTCTCCAGGTTTCTTATTATCACCCTGGTCCATTGGGGCCTGCATAGCAATATTGTTTCAATATCCAACAAATTAAACGTCCAATAATGCAAGAAATTGAAGGAAAATTTCCACGGCCACATTCAATTCATAGAGCAAATTAAACAGAGAAACATTGACTTGAATAAAATTATAAACAAAAAACATTAAAAAGAACAGATCAGAAAAAAAAAAAAAAACATTGAATGAAATACTAAACTCACCGACATTTCGAGGTTGTCTAGAAATTAAAGGAGAGATTAAAATCCTTGTAACTTTGAAGAATCAAAATAAGGTTATTATCATAGCTACAAGGTGATGGATTTGGGCTAGATAGATAGGGAATGAGAGAGAATGAGAGAAAGAGAGGGAGAGATGAGTCCTGTTGAAAACCAAATTGAACGTACGTCAAAGCGGATTCCATTCCCATGCATGCATAAATTAAAGGTCTTTAACTGTATCTTCATTCTGCCATACAATGTGTAGATATATGTATATTTGCAATTTAACTAAAATTAAATATGAATGGTATTTATTTCCTAAACCAAATTATATCATAGACGGTCTACATGGGCAGGCCAGTTGGTCACAAAGATGAAGTTTGAAAACAATAATCGGGGTCGACTCTCACCAGTGTGAGAGCAACCGCTCAAAGTGAGGAGCTCTGAACTTTGTGCGCAGTAAGCAAATGTCTAGCCTCTGTTCAGCTGTGTTACCATGATTTATATCCTCTAGATGTTTTTCCGGACCAGAACGTGAGAGACCCTCAAAGTTGAGAATTCAGCCTTTTTTGGAAACAATAATAAATTATATCATAGACATGGGTCTGGGTTGCAATTACACGAGTGTAGAGTCCATTAAAATATGGGTGCAAATTCATTAAATTATCAGTGTAAATAGATTTATCAGAATCACACCTATTGTTAAATTGAAATGTATTAGTACCAAATACTGTAAATACTAAAGTCAAATGTGAAAATGGGCAGAACCTTTTTCTGATGAGGTTAGGAGCAGGAGCAAGAACACTTGGTCTGAAGAGCAAGATGTTCATCTCTGAAGAGCAAGGTGCTCATCTCGGAAGAGCAAGATGCTCATTTCGGAAGAGCAAGATGCTCATCTCTGAAGAGCAAGATGCTCATTTCGGAAGAGCAGGAGAAAGAGCAAGATGCTCATTTCAGGAGAAAGAGCAAGATGAAGTTGCAGGAGAGGGTTTGCTATAAATAGGCAACTCCTCTTCACCCAATCTCATCCCATTCCATCAGGAATTCTCCCATTAGCATAGCAAAATATAGAGAGTAGAATAGAGAGTTATATTTGTAATTCCTATTTGTAATATCTTTTTGCCAATACAGAAAAATCCTTCTTCAAATTGCCTTTATTTTGTGTATGATTTATTTTAAATCTTACACTAGAAATATTCTCATTATTTCCGGTCCGAATTGCCGCTGTATTTTGGTGTTTGCGAACCGTATCGATCCTAACAACTTAACAAGTGGTATCAGAGCCCCAGGTTGGTTCATAGATATATCTGTACTGTATCGGTTATGTTAGAACTCATACTGGTAAAGTGATTGTACATGTCTAGGAAAAGATCTGGTTAAGACTTGGTATTTAAGCAGTCCATTTGTGACTCACCTCTCTTCTCCAGAAATATTTTCCTGGTGTACTGTTCACAGGACCGGTAGTTTTCTATTATACGGTACTATTTAGATATATTGTTCAGGATCAATAACACCACTTACAATGACGGCAAAGTACGAGATTGAAAAGTTCAATGGGAACAGTTTCTCGTTGTGGAAAATGAGAATGAAAGCAGTTCTCAGGAAAGATAAATGCGTTGCAGCAATTGAAGAAAGACCAGCCGATTTCACAGACGATGCAAAGTGGACAGAAATGGATAGTAACGCTATTGCCAATCTGCACTTAGCACTTGCTGATGAAGTTTTGTCAAGTGTGGCGGAAAAAGGTACGGCAAAAGAGATATGGGATACTCTCGTAAATTTGTATGAGGCCAAATCACTGCACAACAAAATCTTCTTGAAGAGGAAGCTATACACTCTCAGGATGATGGAGACATCCTCAGTAACTGAGCACATCAACACTCTCAACACTCTATTTTCACAACTCTCGGCGTTGAGTTATAAAATAGATGTGAATGAACGTGCTGAAATTTTACTCCAAAGTCTACCGGATTCATACGATCAACTCATTATCAATCTAGTCAACAACAAGGAGGTACTTGTCTTCGATGACATTGCAGTTGCGGTTCTTCAAGAAGAAAGTCGGCGCAAAAACAAAGAATATAAAGTTGGAACCTCACAACAGTCTCAGGCGTTGACAGTGACAAGAGGAAGATCAACGGAGCCTGGCTCCAGTGGGAGTCACAACCGAGGTAAATCAAAGTCAAGGGGTAAGAAGAATGTCAAGTGTTTTCACTATGGCAAAAAGGGGCACTTCAAGAGTGAGTGTTGGCAGCTCAAGAAGGATGTGACCAAAGGCAAAAATCCCGAGACATCAAATGCTCAGGGATGTGTTGTGAGTACATCGGATGAATGCGAAGTTTTATTTGGTGAAGCAGCAACGATTGTTGAAGGCAGGAAGAGTCTAGCTGATGTTTGGCTCATGGACTCCGGAGCAACATGGCATATGACTTCACGAAGAGAATGGTTTCATGAATATGAACCTGTCTCTGGAGGATCAGTCTTCATGGGAGATGATCATGCCTTAGAGATTGCTGGCATTGGTACTATCAAACTAAAAATGTTTGATGGTACAGTTCGCACTATCCAAGAGGTACAACACGTGAAAAGCCTGAAGAAAAATCTATTGTCTTTAGGACAATTAGATAGCCGTGAATGTAAAATTTACATTCAGGATGGGATCATCAAAGTAATCAAGGGCGCGCTTGTTGTGATGAAAGCTGAAAAGATAGCGGCCAATCTATACATGCTTAAAGGAGAAACACTACTACAAGGAGAAGCAGCTGTTGCATCAGACAATCTTATAGAGGAATCAACGATGATGTGGCATCAAAAACTTGGCCACATGTCTGAACGAGGTCTAAAGATTCTTGCTGATCAACATCTTCTTCCGGGGCTAAAAAAAGGTTTCATTACCTTTTTGTGAGCATTGTGTTACAAGTAAGCAGCATATATTGAAGTTCGAGAACTCTAAAGCAAGGAGCAAGGCTATCTTGGAGCTAATCCACTCCGATGTTTGGCAAGCACCAGTTATATCCCTGGGAGGTGCAAAGCATTTTGTATCCTTCATAGACGATTACTCGAGGAGATGTTGGGTGTATCCAATCAAGCGGAAGGCGGATGTATTTGAAGTTTTCAAATTCTTCAAAGCGCGTGTGGAACTTGAATCCGATAAACGGATCAAGTGTTTGAGGTCGGATAATGGAGGAGAATATACTAGTGATGAGTTTGATAAATTCTGTCTACAAGAAGGTATCAAACGGCAGTTCACGGTGGCGTATACTCCACAACAAAATGGAGTGCAGAGCGGATGAACAGAACCTTGTTGGAAAGAACAAGAGCAATGTTGAGGACTGCAAATTTGGCAAATTCATTTTGGGCAGAAGCAGTCAAAATCGCATGTTATGTGATCAATCGGTCACCATCAACCGCAATTGATCTGAAAACGCCAATGGAAATGTGGACTGGTAAGCCATCCAGTTATTCTCACTTGCATACATTTGGGAGTCCGGCATATGTGATATACAACACTCAAGAAACATCTAAACTTGATCCAAAATCAAGAAAATGTGTTTTCTTGGGGTATGCTGATGGAGTGAAGGGGTATCGCCTGTGGGATCCCACTGCCCACAAGGTTATCATCAGCAAGGATGTTGTATTTGTAGAAAGCAAGGTACAAGAAAGGGAAAGCACTGGGAAGGAGAAACCAGTGACAACTACAGTACAAGTTGAGGGAAGGAAGGAAGAAGAAATTCCAGTTTCCCCTAAAGCAACAATAGAGCATGATGATCAAGATCAAGCTGAGTTTTCAACTTCAGAAGTTCGACGATCAACTCGGGAGAGGAGAGAACCAGCTTGGCACTCAGATTATTCAATGGAGGGAAATGTTGCATACTGTCTACTAACAGAAGATGGTGAGCCATTAACTTACCATGAGGCTATAAAAGGTCCAGATGCATCTCTGTGGATGACATCAATGCAAGAAGAAATCGAAGCTCTCCATAAGAATATAATAAAACATGGGAACTTGTCCCGTTACCACGAGGAAGGAAGGCTATTGGAAACAAATGGGTCTATAAGATCAAACGAGATAGCAACAACCAAGTGGAACGGTATCGTGCTCGATTAGTTATGAAAGGATTTGCTCAGAAGGAAGGAGTTGATTTCAACGAGATATTTTCTCCTGTTATACGACTTACAACGATTCGAGCAGTCCTAGCAATGTGTGCTGTGTTTGACTTGTATCTTGAGCAGTTGGATGTAAAAACTACGTTTCTACATGGAGAACTTGAAGAAGAGATTTACATGCTCCAACCAGGAGGTTTTGAAGAAAAAGGAAAAGGGAACTTGGTTTGCAGGTTGACCAAATCTCTATACGGTCTCAAACAGGCGCCGCGATGTTGGTATAAGAGATTTGATTCATTCATTCTGAGCCTTGGATACAATAGGTTTAATTCCGATCCTTGCGCATATTGCAAGAGATTTGATGATAATCAGTTTATCATCTTGCTGTTGTATGTTGACGACATGTTGGTAGTAGGCCCCAACAATGATCGTATCAAGGAGATGAAGGCTCAACTGGCTAGGGAATTTGAAATGAAGGACTTGGGACCAGCAAACAAGATTCTAGGGATGCAAATTCACCGAGACAGAAATAATAGGAAGATTTGGCTCTCTCAGCAGAATTATCTGAAGAAAATCTTGCGGCACTTCAACATGCAAGATTGTAAGCCAATTTCTACCCCTCTTTCTATTAATTTCAAGTTATCCTCAAGTATGAGTCCTAGCAACGAAGCAGAGAGGATGGAGATGTCCCGAGTACCGTATGCATCAGTAGTGGGCAGTTTAATGTTTGCTATGATCTGCACTAGACCAGACATTGCACAAGCAGTGGGAGCGGTCAGTCGATACATGGCAAATCCTGGTAGAGAGCATTGGAGTGCTGTGAAGAGGATCCTTAGATATATCAAGGGTACCTCAGATATTGCATTGTGTTATGGAGGATCAAACTTCATTATTAGAGGCTATGTTGATTCAGATTATGCAGGTAATCTTGATTGTAGCAAATCCACCACGGGTTATGTGTTTACTCTTGCTGGCGGAGCAGTAAGCAGGGTTTCGAAGTTGCAGTCTGTTGTGGCAACATCGACGACGGAAGCAGAATATATAGCTGCTACTCAAGCTAGTAAAGAGGCTATATGGTTGCAAATACTATTGGAGGAGCTCGGGCACAAATTAGAGAAAATGACTCTATTTTGTGACAGTCAGAGCGCTTTGTACTTAACAAAGAATCCAGCATTTCATTCCAAGACGAAACACATACGGGTTCAGTTTCACTTTGTTCGTGAAAAGGTGGAAGAAGGAAGTGTGGATATACAGAAAATCCATACTAAAGATAACCTGGCAGATATGTTAACAAAGCCTATTACCAACGATAAATTCGTATGGTGTAGATCCTCAATTGGCCTAACAAGTATGCAAGCAGCACGGAATTGGCAGAAAGGATGAAGGTCCACATTGTGACTTTAAGTGGGAGATTTGTAAATACTAAAGTCAAATGTGGAAATGGGCAGAACCTTTTTCTGATGAGGTTAGGAGCAGGAGCAAGAACACTTGGTCTGAAGAGCAAGATGTTCATCTCTGAAGAGCAAGGTGCTCATCTCTGAAGAGCAAGATGCTCATTTTGGAAGAGCAAGATGCTCATCTCTGAAGAGCAAGATGCTCATTTCGGAAGAGCAAGATGCTCATTTCGGAAGAGCAAGATGAAGTTGCAGGAGAGGGTTTGCTATAAATAGGCAACTCCTCTTCATCCAATCTCATCCCATTCCATCAGGAATTCTCCCATTAGCATAGCAAAATATAGAGAGTAGAATAGAGAGTTATATTTGAAATTCCTATTTGTAATATCCTTTTGCCAATACAGAAAAATCCTTCTTCAAATTTCCTTTATTTTGTGTATGATTTATTTTAAATCTTACACTAAAAATATTCTCATTATTTTCGATCCGAATTACAGCTGTATTTTGGTGTTTGCGAACCGTATCGATCCTAACAAATAGGATATGATACGAAAACAAACACGAAATGTGAAGTGACTGATGAAGAAAAGTAGAAGCACGTTTTCAAAAAAAAAAAAAAAAGTAGAAGCACACCAAAATAGAATTTGACTGTGATATCGGTCATGCAAAGCCATTGCACTGGATAGATAGATTCTAATTTAACAATTGGTAAAGAGATGGCCACTTGGCAAAACAAAAAATTAAACGACTTTAGTACCAGTCATCAGTCAAGTATTATTTTTTTTAGTGTAAACCACGAAGTGATCCGAGTCTTTTCTGTCCGTTTAACGATCCAGGTCCATCCGACTAATCCTCATCTCTCTCACAAAGAGAGCTCATTTACTATTTGAGCTACCACCCCGAGTTATCAATCAAGTATTAATTAACGTATCATTGTCACATTAACATAAATAAATAAATAATATATATATATATATATATATATATATATATATATATATATATATATATATATATATATATATATATATATATATAGATACTGATTCAAATGCCGACAGTGTTTCTTGTGCGATTAATGCAGATTCACCATTAGACATGTAAAAATGTAGTAAATAGTATTTGAAAATGCACCAATACACCACAAAAAAATGCACCACACCGCACGCAAGGTGCGTGGCATAGAATTTCCTGGGAGTAGATATATTTTAAATAATTTGTGCGTGGCATAAATTTAGCCAGGCCAATTATAATTGAGATAAGGAAGAAGTGTAGCAGATCGACTTGACTAAATATGATACAACCATAGATATTGTGGGATGTGGGAGCCATAAGTTGTGGAAAACATGGGTATGATGGGGAGTGGCCGAGTCATAAGTTGTGGAAAATGTGGCAGTGGGGAACTGTAGGAGTTTGAGAAGTGTTTGGAGATTTGAGAAACTTATCTTCAATATTAGTTAATTATTAATTTTTTAATATATTAAGTTTCCAAGCTTACTCTAGATTAGTTTTACTTATTAATTTTTAAAACTTTTTATCTAGAAAGTGTCGTCTGAGAAGGTAAATCGCGAATTATTTAATCAGTCTTCAATTTTTATCTCTTGAAGAAAAATATTTTTAATGCAACTAACCTAAAAAAATACTCCGTATTAACAAGAAATTTACAAACTCCAAAAGCACTTTCACTTTTGACCATTTCCACACCTATGTTGGAAACATGCAGTCTATCCGCGTGTCAATAGTCTAAGTGTATGATCAATGATGGTTTTGTTTTGTTTTTTTTTTTTTTTTGTTTTGTGAAAATGATTTTGTTGGTTTTTTTTTAGTCTTACAAAAAATTAGATTTAAAAAAAAAAAAACATAGCTAGTGCTAGCTAGATGCGGGCGGTTGTGTGAGAATTTCAAATCAAATGAATACTCTTTGAAAATCAATTTTTCCTTCACTCATTATCAATTTTAAATGTATAATATATCTATTTTGACTTGACTCAAATAAAAATAAACCCTTTTGAAATTTATATGACTACTTTAAATGTTGATTTAAACTAATTTTTGGGTAATCAGCCTCTAATTAAATCTTAGTTATTACGGTGTATTATTATTTTGTTCCCTTTGCTAACAAAAAAACTCAAGTTTTTTACTGCTGGGTGGCTCTAAGAGATACGGAGATTGACGTGTCTACATACCCATCCATCACTAGGCATACTCAGTTTCTATATATTTTCAAAACTCAAAAGGAATTACATACCAAGATTATTTTGTTTACACTCTACACATACACCATGAGACATACCACTTTCAATATTATGCTACTGCTTCTTTTTCTTCTCGTTATATGCAGATTTGAGTGTTGTTACTCAAATGATAATTCAGGTTGCCTTGAAGGGGAGCGGATTTCTCTTCTCCAATTTAAGAAAAGTCTGGTTGATAGATCAAATCGTCTCTCCTCATGGACCGGTCTTGATTGTTGCAAATGGAAGGGAGTGTCTTGTAGCTCAACAACTGGCCATGTCCTAAAGCTTGATTTACAGAACCTGCAAGCAACATATGATGATATTGGGAGATACTGGGACAATTCATACTATTGCAACAATTGCTTGGAAGGTGAGATAAATCAATCTCTTATCAACTTAACACATTTGGATTATCTTGATCTAAGTTTGAACAATTTTTCTGCAATCAAAATTCCTGAATTCTTGGGATCCTTCAAAAACTTGAAGTATCTTAACCTCTCGAGTTCGGGTTTTGTGGGAAGCATTCCAACTCATCTTGGAAATCTTTCAAGTTTAGAGCATCTCGACATAGGAATACATGAAGTGGATGGACCTAATTTTAATAATTTGGCTACAAATAACCTGGATTGGTTGTTTGGTCTTTCTTCTCTAAGAACTCTTGACATGTCTGGGATTTCCATTGGGCATAGTGAAAATTGGCTAAACCCAATCAACAAGCTCGTGTCTTTAGCTTCTTTAAACTTGGCTTTTTGCAATCTTGGCACAACCAATCCTCTTTCACATGTTAACTCCACTACTGCTCTTGTTTGGCTTAATCTGTATGAGAATTATTTGGATTCTACAATCCTTTTTTGGTTATCTAATCTCACCAGCCTAGAGTATCTCAGTCTAGGTTGAAATCATATTAATTCTCGTTTGCCAGATATGTTTGAGCACTTGGCCTCTTTAAAGGTTGTTGACCTTGCTGAAAATTCCCTTACTGGCACAATAACTCCATTGTGTAAGATTCACAATTTGATTGACATGGAACTCAGCGGAAATGATTTTCAAGGTTTAATTCCCAATTGTCTTGGAAACTTGACTTCATTCATCTCTCTACAGCTAGCTTACAATCAGTTTGAAGGTTCAATTCCAAATAGCCTAAGTCATCTTTGTAGATTACAACTGCTTGATTTACGTGGCAATAAATTGACAGATTTTACTACAGTTTTATCTGGCTGCCTCTTAAGTAGTTTGAGAACACTGTGCTTAGATGGAAACAATTTTAGTGGTCAACTTCCAAAAGGGCTGTACGAGTATAGGAATCTGGAATACCTTTCACTCTCTTCAAATTCCTTCTCTGGTACAATAGCTGAGTCACTTGGAAATTTATCAACGTTGCAGTATTTGCTTATTCCTGATAATAAGTTTAGTGGCAGCGTTCCCTTGAACCTTGGACAACTTTCCAACCTTGAAAGTGTAGATATATCTGGTAATTCATTTACAGGTGTTCTCTCAGAATTTCACTTTTCAAAACTTAATAAGCTCGTAGTCTTGGACATATCTGGAAATTTATTTGTTTGGAATGTAAGCTCTGTTTGGATTCCTCCTTTTCAACTTCTAACCATTGAAATGGATTCCATTATAATGGGTCCTGATTTCCCTCATTGGCTTCGTACCCAAAGGAATGTTCAGATTTTATCCATGCGTCATCACAAATGCTATCCCTGATTGGTTTTGGGATTTCTCTTGGAATTGCGGAGTGATAGAGCTCTCTCAAAATGGTATAAGTGGAAATCTTCCCTTGAAACCCCATGTTGGGGTTGAAAGTTATATGAAAGTTGAATATCTTTTACTTTCAAATAATCAATTGACGAGTGAAATCCCCAGGTGGTTATGCAATTTAAAAGATTTAGACCAACTTGATCTTTCAACAAATAAGTTATCTGGGAAGATACCTTTATGCTTTGGAAAGCTGCAGAACTTAATTGTTCTTGATTTGGGAAATAACAATCTATGTGGCCACATTCCGATTTCACTGGGATCTCTATATCATCTCCAATCTCTGCACTTGCCAAACAACAAACTGGAAGGGGAAGTCCCTTCAAGTTTGCAGAACTTAAGAAACTTAGGAGTCTTGGATTTAAGTGAAAATGAATTAACAGATGTTATCCCTCCATGGATTGGGGAAAAGTTATCAAATATGGGATTTCTTATACTTCATGCAAATCATTTCTATGGGGATATTCCATTGCAATTGTGTCAATTGCAAAATCTTCAATTGTTGAATTTGGCAAATAATAACATGTCTGGATATATCCCTCATTGTTTTGACAACCTAACAGGAATGGTTACTGAAGGCAACTTAGAGTATGGTTATACCGGGATTGGCTCAATAGGGTATGGAGATGAAATTTTTGAAGATATAAAAGGATTAAAGTTGCAGTATAATAAAACCCTTCGATTTTTGAGGTCCATGGACCTTTCATGGAACCACTTAGTTGGAATGATCCCAGTGGAGTTAACAAGTTTGCATGCATTAAAGAATTTGAATCTTTCTAGAAATCATCTAAGTGGTGCTATCCCTGCAAGTATTGGCAATTTGAGCAACATTGAATCTCTTGATTTATCAAGGAATCTGCTTTCCGGTCGCATTCCTCCAAGCTTATCATCTTTGAACTTTTTGAGTTACTTAAACTTGTCATTCAACAATTTGTATGGAAGAATACCATCAGGAAATCAACTTCAAACCCTCATTGAGCCATCCATTTATATTGGCAATGAAGGATTGTGTGGCGCCCCACTTCCGAAAAGTTGCGGCCCTACTCCTAAAGCATCTTCCGTTGATCAACATACAGAAACAAGTGGTGATAACCATGAGTTTATAATGTGGTTTTATGCTGGTTTGGGGCCTGGTTTCTTTGTTGGATTCATTGGAGTGCTAAGCATTTTACTTTTCAAGAGATCTTGGCGTTTTGCGTACTTCAAGTTCTTGGAGATGGCTTACAATAACATATTATACAAGAATTTCATTAGAAGGTAAAAGTCAATCTCTTTATATTATGCGTTTATATTATGAACTCCTATATAAAACTTTTATGCTCGCACTCAAATGTCTTTAAATTATCGCTTTGTTTTACTAATATATGCAACATAAGTACACATGTGACGTTTTCATTACTAACTCATTATTACACATGTGACGTTTTCATTACTAACTCATTATTTTATAATATATTTTGCAGGTGTTGATGTTAGTACTAGATTACGAGTGTCTGTTAGTTCATCGTATTTGGGCTTCTTGTACGTGGTATATCAATGTTAATTTCATTTTCTTCTCTTTTTTTTTTTTTTTTTTTTTTTTTTTTTTTTTTTTTTTTTTTTTTTTGGTATTCTACAATGGTGAGAAAATTATATGCAGTTTATGTTGGTTTCAAAATGTCACTTATTATTTGTATATGCACCAAATAAACACCATAAACCCCAATGGATATATATTTAATATTTTTTTCTTGTTTTCTTGGTTGAAAGAATGTTAATCATATCCTTCCTGTTTCTACTCATGCTGGAATTAGAGTTGTAGCCCACCAATATCTATATGGACAAGAATTTAGGATTTAATTTGATTTACATTCTTGCACCCGAAAGAGCCTCTATGTTATATATATATATATATATATATATATATATATATATATATATATATATATATATATATATATTTATTTATTTATTTATTTAAACTTCTCAAAAAAATGAATTGTATATATATTAGATAGTTCAAACTTATCACTTTTCTAATATGCATGGGACAAAAGTTTCTTATAAGTCTTGATCTAAAGGATTGTCTCAGTGATAATGTACCATGCATCTTTTGTTGCATGCATGTCAATCTACAAAAACTAATAGCAATGATGATCATGAGTTTTTCATGTAGTTCTATACCAGATTTCTTAATTTGTTTGATTTATTAGAGTGTTAAGCATTTTATTATTCAAGAAATCTTGGTGTTATGCATACTTCAAATTTTTAAGAATGACTTATTACAACAAAATATTATTATGTCAATAATTTTTTCATCAAAGGCTAAAGATCACTTTACTACTATGTGTGCATGCACTATATACATGTAACGGTACATTACTAAATGACAAATATAATTTTAATTTTAAAGAATTGAGAAATATATGTTAGTATTCACTATTATTGATTGTAAACACATGTTTTATTATATGTTAAAATGTATACCTAAACACAATTATACTAAGTGTCAATTATATGAATTGAAATATATTACTCATCACATTGTTTTATAACACATTTTGCAGGCCGGTGTTGATACCTAATGCAAATGCAAAGAAGTGATTATGAACTCGTCGTATTTGTTTAATTTGGTTTTATCAAGGTTTAGATTAAGTTGAAAGAGGCACAGACTATCGCATCTATATGCTATAGGTGTTGATCTTATTTGTTGTTTATGTGTTTTGGACTACCTTTTATGGTAATGTTCTTTGTTTTGTTTTTTTTTTTTTTTTGTATGTTGCTTCTTATCTAATGAAGGTTGTAGTGATGAGATTTGAAGTTGATGTTTGTCTTGAGCCATATGTATGTGGATGTTTGTCTTGAGCCATATGTATGTAATTTATTATCGTATTCAATGTCATCTGCACTGTACCCCTAATGTTGTGATATAATTGGTATTTAATATGTTGTTTTGGTTCTATTTTTTTTTAAAAAAAAATCAAAAAGACCATTAAATTTTATTTGAAAAAATTAAATTTTTAAACTTTTTTTTTTTCAAATAGATTTTTAAATTTTAAATACTTGCAATTACACACATCAACTTATAAATTTGATGAAATTAACTCAATTAGTTGACGAATTGATATGTACAATTACAACTTTTTAAAATTTAGCATATCAATTATTTTTAAAAATTTAACATAACAATAAGTTCGAATTTGGGTCTAAACTTTTTTTTTTTTAATATTAGATAATAACATTAATCAGAATATATCAAAAATTCTAATCTAATATGAAATTAATAATAATTAATAATAAATTTATAAAATTCAATCAAAATTGAACAAGTCATTTAAAAAAAAAAATCACTAATATAGTAATATGTCAAATTATTTATTAAAAAAAAATCTATTTTTAATTCGAGTATACTTTATGATGAGATATTTTCTCTTCGTTACTTTTTTGCAACTTGTGCTGTTTTGTCACCGTCATAAGACTCGCGACGCGCAGCGCACCACGCCTCTCCGGCGGTCGTTTCCTTTACCTCACCGCGTAGATATATATATACTTGTTCTTCCTTGTATAGTTGTGTATATATCTATAGATTCGAATCGTTTGAATTACACAGTGAATCGCAGAAAGAGAACCCAAAATTGAATTATTATGGTGAAATCCGTAGAGAATGGGGTATCGGTGCCGCCGTTCCTGCTCAAGTGCTACGAGATGGTGGACGACGAGTCAACGGACGCGCTCATTTCTTGGAGTCAAAGTCAACCGTCGACCGCAGATGGTAACAACGATAGCTTCATCATCTGGGATGTGTCCAACTTCTGCTCTCAATTGCTCCCCAAATATTTCAAGCACTCCAATTTCTCTAGCTTCGTTCGCCAGCTCAATATCTATGTAAGCGTGTGTACTTTCTTGGGATTTATTCTTTCAATTTCTAATTTTGTTCGATTTAGTATTTGTTCTTTGATGTTTTAAAAATTGGGAAACGATTGAAATTTGAAATCTATTGAGATTCCGTGTACTTAAACTCTTAAAGGTCTGATTAGCTTATTATGGTTCACAACTCATTTAGTTAGATGGTTTTCTTTGTTTGGGTTATATTCTTTAAATTTGTCATCTTACTTGATTAAGTAATTCTATTGGTATTTGAAAAATTGGATAATTCTTTTAATTGTATGTCTTTGATTATCTTGTTTGAATATTTGGTTTGGAGTCCTGGTCATGGGGAAGTATGAAATTAATGAAAATTGAGGCTTTTGTTATGAGTGTTATAGAGGAATGCTGGAATTAGGTTGTATAGCCATTTCTAGAAATGATGTGGTCATGTGGCTTTTTGGTTTTCTTCTTAATCCCTCGCCTAAGATATGTATTATTGGAATTAGAGCATTTTTCACTCTTTCCCTCCATGACTATTATGTAGAATTTTGATTTGGTAGCCTATGTTTATAGTTAGTATGCCACTTGTGAGTAGTAAAATCATGGTTGAATGGTTGCTATTTTATAACCCACTTGAGAACAGTATAATGAAGATTAAATGGTTACCAGTTCAGTAAGCCACTTGTGAATACTACAACAATGGTTACTAACGCAAGCTATTTGTGAGTACTAAATGATGGTTAAATGGCTACTGGTTCGTAAGTAAATGTTGTTTGCTAGCCAGCCAATGTGAATAGTTAATTAATTAATGAAATGATCAAATTTCTTGTCTGCTATCTCCTATCTATTGAAACGACAGAATAGTTTACAAGGATATTTTTGTTGTGGTTAAAGAATAGGTACTAAATATTATAGGTTTACATTGTCCCAATTAACAACTTAGGGCTTATGCTCACCTGTGGATAGTAAGATGTTATGACTTCTACTTGAAGGAAAAACCAGTATTCATACATATTTGTGGTCTTTTTTGCATGCATCACCATATAATTTGATGGACTTGATCTGTTACATCTGTATTCTGGCTTAAAATTCAATGGCAATTTTGATTGGTTTAGAGATGTTATTGTATCCTCCGACCCATTTCCAATATGTAATAGAAGTACCACTGACCGCAGAGCATACATTCCTAGCTTTTTTTGAGCATTCTTGGCTGCTAGTGATTAAGTTGCCAATGCCCCCTCTTACTGTTGTCTGAATAAACTCTCCCGTCTTTGCTTTAGCCATAGGTTAAAGAAAAAACAAAAATTTGGAGACTGAAAGATTAAAGAATAAAAACAAACTGTTTAAACCACTTTGCTTATATAGATTTCAAGTATCAGAGCACAGGCCCCTAACTAATTAAATCTTCTTAGAGAAAGACTTCTGAAGTGGTTTTGTACATAAATTTATGGTGCTTGACTCTGAAAATTAATCAATTCGAGAACAGTTATACTTCTCATTTCTTAGTCATTTCTATAACCACTGCTGCCTGGACTGATCAAGCTCCAAATTAGGACCAGAACTTAGATCACTATTTTTTAGAACCCCTTCTTTTTGCTAGATATGCATGTCGTTTTTTGCTGTTCTTGCACTTTAACCTCTATTGTACAAGTGCAATATTATGTAAATCTTCAGGGTAAACTGTTGGTATTTTTCTGAGTCCAGATTTTCAGAATGCTCATCTCATGGATTAATCAGTTTAAATGAATAAATGGTTTTGCAAACATGAAGGGTTAACATTCCACTTGGTTTTGCACATTTATGCTAATTCATGTCTTTTTAGTGAAACATGTTTGCCTGTCGGTTCCCCTTGTTATATTAAAGAAGGGGAAGTTTCTAGGACTTAATTTGTGGTAGGATTATCTTTACACATATTAGACCTGTTCCTTGACAAGAATATTGATAAATGTTTATGGTAATTATGCTGGAATTCAATAATATGAATATAGCAAGAATTGATGCATATATTTCATTTTTGAAATAAGTAATTATGCTATTATATGGTTGCATAGATTGAAATGCTTAATTGATTTTTCTTTGTTTAATTTCTTTTTTAAATTTTTAACTGGTTTCAGGGTTTCAGGAAAGTTGATACAGATCGATGGGAGTTTGCAAATGATAAATTTGTCAGAGGCCAAAAGCATTTACTAGCAAGCATTGTAAGAAGAAAAAACTCCCAGAATGTAGTGCCAAAGATAACTACACAGCAGGAGGTGACAAAATCATCGACAACTGAAGATGATAAGAGGCTTGCATTATGGAAGGAGGTTGAAAGCCTGAAGATTGATAAGAATGCACTTATGCAGGAGCTGATTAAGCTTAGACAACACCAGCAGACCTCGCAAAGCAGGTTGTTGCTTCTACGAGAACAAGTGAAGGGTATGGAGAAAAATCAGCAGCAGATGCTCTCGTTCATAGTAATGGCCATGCAAAACCCAGGCTTTTTGCTCCAATTTCTGCAGCCAAAAGAATATAATTGGCTTATGGCCGAGACCGGTTCAAATGTTCTAAGCAAAGTTGATGATAAGTGTGAGCTCGCCCCTTCCAATGGGATGATGGTAAAGTATCAGCCGCCACTACAGCATCAAGTTGCTGAGCCAATATGCAGTGACCCTACTTCAGATCCCGAGAAATCTATGGAACACGATTTTTCTTCAAATGATATCGAAGAAAATGAAGAGACGGGTAGGAATAATGCATCAAGTGAAGAAGTTGAACATAACTCTGAGCTCACCCCATCTAATGGAATTTTAGTAAAGTATCAATCACCGACACATCAAGTTGCAGTGCCAAAATGCATTGAGCCTACTTCTTATGCTGAGAAATCAACGGACCTGGATTTTTCTTTAGATGATATTAAAGATCTCTTCAAGAACATAGATATCTTCCCAGGGCCATTCGATGAGGGATTTCTTCCTTCCGAAAACAGTGATCCGTTTTCAATTCCTGATATGCTCGACGGGGATGATGTAATGGATATGCTTTTGTCCAGCCCAATCTCAGAAAGAGAAGAACTAGAAGACGGTATAGGTGAAGGCGGGACAACTGAAACTCCCCCGCATACCACTCATGCAGGTAACTTTGAGGGCATGGATACGCTAACGGAACAAATGGGTCATACAAAATTTTGATATTAGTTTCTGTGGAGACACTGTGTCATGTATTCTTTTTGGCTTCAAAGCTAGTTTTGAAGCTTGGAGGGAAATTTTGCATACATTAGTGGCCATGGTTTTAGGCATATTGGATTATATACACTAATATACTATTTTAACCAGAGACAGAAATGGGTTAATTGTTGTTACTATTTTTGTTACAGGAGTAAAGAATCTATGTTCAGTTGTATCTTTGTTTTCACAATTTTCTCATCTTATGTGAATGACAAATCACCACTATCTTATACAAAAGTACAGGAGAAACATAGTCATTACCAAATCAACGCCATTATTAAGCTGCTAATATGAATGAATTGTACATTTTACATTTGGGTAGGAAAAGGAAAAGTGGAAAGAAAGTAAAGAAAATTAGGCTCAGATCAACACCATTATTCTCTCTGCAATTCCCAAACTCCATCAAAACCCAAGCTCAGATCACCTCGCCAAGCTGAAGCTCCAAAGATCCCTCTGCTTAGCTCTCTCCAATCGAGCCGAATCCCGTTTCGGGATCTGCAAATTTCCCAGGCCTCTGTAAGACTGATGAGGCGTTGAAGAATGAGAGCTGCACCCGTTTCAAGACTCTGCTCTGCTCGCCGGCAACAGCCTTATGTTGATTTAGGGCAGCTAATCTTGATGTTCATGATGCTGAAAATGGTGAAATGCTAAATGGGTATTTAGAGAAATGTAAAAAGCTTGAGGCTTTGTCAAGAACGGGTGGTTTTGATCTCTCTCTCAAATCGCTATGAACAGATACAGATACTACATTGTAACAGAGTCAGTAATACTAAAAAAACAAAAAAAAAAAAATCAAATTAGAGAAGCTCTGGAGTTGTCTGGCCCACTGGCTGACTGACTACTCATACCTGTTGTTATCAAGAATTCCCATAATGTTCTACATCATACCATGGACATCCTGACTGATGATAAAGAAAGCTAGCTCATCAGGGCTCAGGCAATGAGAACAGAACAGACACCATATATTATATTATATTTAAAAATAAATAATTTACAGTAAATGTTTTTAAGGAGCAGACAAATTCAGAATGTTAGTTGACAATTAATGTTGAGATGAGAGATACCAAGAAGAAATGTATATATGAATTAGGACTAAACAACACTTACGTTAACAGTAGTACTCTTCTGAAACCTGGAACCGGAAGATTCATAAGTAGATTCCATTATTGTTGCATTATATTGATTTCTTGACCCTCCAAAACAAATTAAATTAAACCATCAGAGATCCAGCATGCGAATACGAGATCGAAACGTAGCCAAGGACGACTTGCCGATATCATCCATCTCTCTCTCTCTCTACAAAACGCATCAAAAAAATATGTTTCTTTCGGCAAATCATCCTTGGCTGCATCTCACAATCTCATATCAACATGCACGACCCATGATGATATATGATATATATAATTTCTTCTTCACCATCTCCTTTTTCTCTAGATATATGGTAGGGAGGAAGGAGTCCAATACGCATATATATATATGTATATTATTAGTTGGTTGCAAGTGGATGAGTGCAGATCTATGTTGCATAGGCATGAACATCATGACATGACACGGGCGAGGTGATGAGGAGGAATGGGAGGAACAAACTTATCACATTACCATATATATAGGAATATTTGTTGGGTGTTACTAGAATCATGCAATTTTATGTTGCACATATAGATATCCACATCATCTATTATGATGTCCATCCTATTATATGATCACCATATACCTAATATATATATATATATATATATATATATATATATATATATGCTAATGTTCTAGTGACACAACTTCTTCCCTTAAGATTATAAGACAGAACATGAATGCACACAGTCTACTATAGGAATGTACACACTAGAATGTGTGCACTCATGTTGGGCAAATTGCACACACTTTAGTCTGTGTGCATTTTTGTAGTAGAATTTGTGCATTCAAGTTGTGTCTAACAGTCTCACGGGAAGATGTTGTATCATTTGATTATATATATATATATATATATATATATATATATATATATATATGATGTAAATTATATTATTCTTGAACACGGTAAAATAATTTTTTTTAGGGTGACAAGAGAAATTCGTATCGAAGATATGTATTGGATAAACATTGTGTTGTGAAGGTATTCGACAAAGCTAAGGACTATAAGGAGATAAATCAATTTATATATGTTGTCTTTAGCTAATTAATTGACTCAAACCTGCAAAAAATAGAATAAGTTATTTATATGGAAAGTTTAAATTTAGAACTTGATAATTATTAAGCCAACAGATCGATGGGATGAACACTTACTATTTTTGGAAAGAGGACCGTTTCTTGTCTCGGTTTTGAGGAATAAACGGTCCAATGGCGACGGAGGATTCCCAAGGTGATGAAGAATCTATAAATTTATATTATATACATATGAGTAATGTATAGCATGTGAGGGTCAGAATTTTTTGGAGCAAGCAAAGAGAGGGGGTGGGGGGGGGGGGGGGGGGGGGGAATCATTAATTATTTGAGATAGTTTGCAGTTGCAGAAAAATGTGATCAAGATTCAATGTCTTTCATCACTTGGCAACTTCAATTTATGGATAAGAAATGATGGGCAATGTTGCAACTTGCACCACACCATACCCCCTATTTTGGGTATGTATTTCAACATTGAACCGACCAACTTGCATAGTAAAGGAATTATGTACCAATCCCATTATTTTGTTAAATTTTTTTTATCTGAATTAAAGAATCGAGATTTTTCTTTGATCATATATAAATTCACACATCATTAGAAGGTTTTGTGTTTTCTTTATAAAGTTATTAGTTAGTTTTCATATTTTGTGTTTGATTATTGTAATTTGTCGTTATATATAGACTAGTAATTCACCCGCGCGATGCACGAAAAAAAATTACATTGTTATAAATATAAATAAAAAATAGAAAAACTAAAATATTTTAAATTATTTAATATAATAATATTTTTGAGCTTCCATTGGTCAAATATTTATTATTTTTATAGAATAAAAAATTACAATTAAAATTAAAATTATAATTATAATTATAATTTTGTATGGTTAATATAATCTCTAATTATGTGCATATTCAAATAAACTTATAGAGATAATTTACATAATTACATTGATTTATTCTTAATTGTATTTCATCTATATTATAATTTTCACAATACAAATAATAACTAAGATAATTACATTTGGAAAGCAAATTTCAAATTTTGTATGTGTAAATTTAAACTCTAATTGAACACATTTTTTATATGATTATATAATATATAGCTATTTTATTTTTCAAAAGTATATTTTTTATATGATTATATAATATATATCTATTTTATTTTTTAAATGTTGTGTGTTTTTTTTTTTTTTTTTTTTTTTTTTTTTTTTTTTTTTTTTTTAATAAAGGATGTTGTGGCATTAATTGTAACATTAATTATTTCCCAAACCATATAGCTTTATTATATAAAGGATTACAATAGAGATATTTATTTGTTGTTTGATTTATATTATAATACGATGTACTCTTACTGTTTTATTCTCAATGTGTTATAAGTTAAATTTGTTTTAGTATTACTGACTCTGTTACAATGTAGTACAAAGAGCCAATATTGCCTCCCACTAGGGATCGAATTCATGACCTCTATGACTTCCCAAAGAGCCACTTCGTGTCACTAGACCACAGAGTTGTCATTAGCAAATATTACAAATTTTGAAACTTAATATTAGGAAAATCCTACAATACTAAACAATGAGAATTCCAACTACTATAGGTAAAAAGAATAGTGAAAGTAGAACGTCGGGCCGGAGTGTGGGGGCCTTTAGGGTTGGGGGTTCAACCTTTTGGAAGAATAGTGAAAGTAGAACTATTATTCAATTTTTTTTTTTTTAAATGTAACTACCTATTCTTATTGATGATAATTAACATTTGTATTATTTGATATTCTAAAAGCAAACCTACAAAACACCAAAGTCAGCCTCACTTATAGCAAAATTCAACATTTATATAGTATGGCTTTATTTGACATAGCAAAAAGTTAAAAGATAGAAAAGGAAGAATGATGAAAGATGCTATTAAGTTAAAATTGTTTGGTAAAATCAGTGGTTGAGTATACCAGAATATTTTATATAAAATTCGGGAAAAAAATATATTTTTTCAACAATTTATAAATTTTGCAATAAATAGTATTATATGATATTTATTCACTATACACACACTCGCAAAATGTTTTACATATTTTATTACTTACTTTTTTTTTTTCTAAAAATATTTAATAAAACTAAAATCCATATGTGTGTTGTGTGTTTTAATAAGGCTTTGAACAACCATCTTTCTTAGGAGCTATATCTGGTATACTTGGAGCTTGCCTTTCACATGGCTACTTAATTATTTTAGGCTTTAAATTAATATTTAAAGCAGAAAGATAATTGTCTATTGATCATGTAATATTAATTTTCCTTTTATTAGTGGTCCATTTAACTAAATTTTAAGTTCTGAAACTTTAATATGAAGTTTAACTTTAAAATTTAAAAATTAGATATTAAAAAAAAAACTTATGCATTAAATATTACTCTCTTTAATTTGTCTTATTTTTGTATTTGATTTTGTTAGCAAAAATTTAACTCAAATTATTTAAAATTTAATATTTGTGCAATATTAATGAATTATATACATTTAATTACAATCTCTATGATAGGAGCAATGCCGTAATGGACCCTTAAATTTGGGATTCAAACAAAAATATAAACAAAGAATGTCTCAATTTAATTATTATTTTTAACGTATTCAATTTAATTTATTACTCTTAATTATGTTAATGAAAGTTATAAGTTATCAAAGTGGTTAGTTGGTATAATGCATGCATCTAGGATTTGTTATAAGCATCAATAAATTGTACTCGATCGATCATAAACCAATAATTAAAAGCAAAAGATCGATGTGAGGGGTGAAAAGTGAGAAAGATCATATCAGATCGAGAAGCAATATAATAATGGAAAAGATGAGGACCGTCTTTTTGATATTAGCATTGCTAATAAGCATAGGAGAAATGAATTTGTCAAATGCAATAAGTGATGAAGGAGCAAAAATATTTCGTCGATTTGTGGACAACTATGATGAGGAGTGCCCGAACGCTAAATTTCTTTCGAATACATGCGTAAATAAAATCCTTAAAATCATCAAACAAGATGGTCGTAC